ATTTCAAAAACTTAATTATGTATTTGTGTTAATGTATGTAGACTTGATTAAACCATTTATCGAGTAACTTGTTAATTATGTTTCATTAGGTTGCACCAGTGATCAAGGAAAGAATGGTAAAACAAGGAACTCTGATGATAGGTTACCAACCTTTATTCGGCAAACCAAACTTCTTTCGTCACATATTTAGTAACGCAAAGACGACATTCCAAGATGTTGAGTACATCTTAGATGAAATTGATCGCCTTGGTAATGACCTGACACTTTCAGACTTGAGTAAAGTCAAATCGCCAAATGAAGAATAGTACCAGAGATAATATTCAATTATGAAAAGAAATCAACATAAAACAATTCATTATCAGTGATCTGGGAGCATCTTTGGGGGGTGGGGGGGACGGGTCAGTTGATTTTTTGATTGAACTTAAATGTCTGTACTTCTATTTTCTGTGAAATATAACTGAATTACGGTACTACCAGTTTTTTTCTTTTCTGGTTCAGGAAAGAAATCTGTATTTTAAGTAAATTTTATAATAGCTCAAGATGAGAGGAGCAAGTAAACAAGTGTTTATGTTGACAGGAATTATTTTAGAATGAAATTGTGTTGTCTATATCATAACAGTGCCTCATTAGTAGATTTATCAGTTTTATGAATAAGTTAACAATAAATATGGATAATCACACTTGTAATGTTTGTGTGGTTGATTGTACAACCCCTGTAGAATAAGAGTATCTTGTACATACTGCTGGCAATAATAAGACATCAGTTATGTCAAGTGTTGATTTTATTTATAAACAGGATGAATTGTCAGTTTGTTTAATTCATCACTTTGTATTGAAGTGTTGTTGTATTTTATTTACGTAATTTTTCATATCTTTCAATATGGAGCAATGCTAGTGTTGAAAGCTCCTTGAAAATAGATTAATTTCATATCACTGGGAAACTGAAATAAAGCAATAAGTCAATCTCGTTATCAGTGTTCTAAGTGATGAAGTAGCCTTTAGTATGGTTGTCATGGAAATAAATATTGTTGAATGTTCAAAGTTGTTTCATGTTAGTGCTAGTAAGCTTTTATTACATGTGAAAATTTGCTAAATTTGTGTGCGATAATAGTAAAATCAAGAACAGAGAAACAATAGATATAATTAGAATGATTGTTTATATTGATAGTTGGATGTATTCATAGTAGTGCAAAGTGATCGACGCAAATGCTTATTTTCTGCCAGCCATCCACCCATGCTTAACCACATCATGTGCATCGTTGGTGTCCCACCATTTTAGCTTCATTCTTTTTGTCTGTTGGTTTACATAGTTCTGCTCGTTTTTCATAAATGGCGTCTATGAAATATTGTACGAGGAAATTAGCATTAGTATTTAATGCTTTGAAAACTGGGGTAAACTTGGAAAATGGAAAAAGTGACAAGTCTTTTGTTTGAGTACTGTTCAAATTTATGGGGTAATCGGCACCACCGCCATAATCGGCACCACCACCATAATCGCCACCACCACCATAATCGCACCACCACCATAATCGGCACCACCACCATAATCGCCACCGCCACCATAATCGCCGCCGCCACCATAATCGCCGCCGCCACCATAATCGCCGCCGCCACCATAATCGCCGCCGCCACCATAATCGCCGCCGCCACCATAATCGCCGCCGCCACCATAATCGCCGCCGCCACCACCACCATAATCGCCACCACCACCATAATCGCCACCACCACCATAATCGCCACCACCACCATAATCGGCAGAAAAGGTAACAGTACGTACTGCCCACTGTGCAGTGTACTGCTCCTGGCCAAAGGACAGAAAAAACATCTTTGATGGCTGGAATTTATATTAATTTATGGAAATTTCCTAACTCTATTATTAATGCAACAAAGATGCATTTACTTGGCAATCGGTTGCCACATGAAGGTTACAACTGATGCAAATTAGATTTTTCACAAGTGTGGAGTATATCTTTCATGGAATATATAGGTTGATATTGTTTAAAACCTATCTTCAATGGAAATAGTTCCTCTCAAAGTCTACTACATGCTATTTTTTTACCTTGCCCGTATCATTGAAGATAGAAGCGAAAAGTATATTAAAGGAAAAATGTCTGTCGTCGTTGTTAATATGGGCAAAATAACTTTACTAATTCTATTCCAAACTTTATCAAACTTGGTCACCTAATTAATCAGTATAAAATCATTCCTAAGTATGAGAGACAGATGTTCTGTGTGAAAATATCATGCAAAAATTGAGAAAATCTGATAAAATATTTTGACTGATCACTGCTAATACACATTCAAAGGTCACTGATCCCAGTGTGAATATGCATTTGTTCAATGAAGTAAATCATTTATCTTGTAATATCAAAGAAAGCTTAGAAAGAACTCCCATGTGCTGAGAGTATTGGAGACTCATTAAAAATAATTCGAAATTACTTGTATTTAAGATATTGATGGAAAAGCTGAAAACTAATTATGCAAATCAGAAAATTAATATGAACAGATTTGAGTGTAAAACTAATGAAGTCTGCGCAATATAACAGACCATCTATATACCAAAAAAAATTATTATGCTAATTAGGGAATTAATATGAACAGATTTTAACCCCAAACTAATCAGGTTTGTACATTCTCCTAGAGCATTTTTGTACTAAGTTTCATTGAAATGGAATAATTTAGATATCAGTGTGATAGCTCGTAATTGGTTAATTATGCAAATTAGATAATATGTACAGATTTTAACCCACAATTAATCAGGTTTGTCTGTTGTCCTACAGCATCCATGTACAAAGTTTCATTGAAATGTGATAATTAGTACTTGAGATATCAGTGTGAAAGTTGAAAATGTATTAGTACTTGATATATCAGTGTGAAAGTTGAAAATGTATTTGTACTTGAGATATCTGTGTGAAAGTTGAAAATGTATTAATTATGCAAATTAGGTGATTAATATGCATAAGTATTTACCGAAAACTAATTTGGTCTCTGCATAGTTTTAGACTTATTGAAATGTGATGATTAATACACGAGATTTCAGTGGAAAAGCTGAAAAATAATTAATTATGCAAATTAGATAATTAATATGAACAATTATTTACCCTGAAACTAGTTAGGTCTCTGCATAGTCTTAGAGGATCTATGTACCAAATTTCATCGAAATTTGATGATTAGTACTTGAGTTATCCGTGGAAATGCTGAAAATTAACTAATTATGCAAATTTGGTGATCATTATGCACACATATTTATCCCAAAACAATCAATCTATGCATAGTCTTTGAGTATCTATGCACTTTTCTCTGAGTCGATTTGCATACAAAGCAGAACTTGCAACATGACAGTTATTCCTCTAGGGCGTTTTTTTTTTACTTTTCAAATAATACAGTAGTTACACAATGAATATATTATTAAAGGCAGTTCATATTTGTCTCAGTGAACCATTAAGTTTTGACAGACACCTGTACAAAATACTTGGGCAAAAGCCGGCTAAGATTTGCTGGTATATTGCATGATTTGTGTATCTATTCAAGTCTAAATGCAGTACTTTTTTTTTCCGAGATGCGGATGTTTGTATACTAAGATTTGAATTACTTTGAATAAACCTGGAAATTATGTCCCTTGAAATATTTAAACAAATTAGGCACCAATGTTTTTGTAAGATATTCACATCAATCAAAAGCATTCGGTAGGCTGCTTTCCCACTGCTGTTTCATTTCAAAACTTTTTTGTATTCAAAATTAATTATGACAATGCATATTCATATTGAAACAAAGCACGATAAAGAAAATCATATTATACAACAATGGACAAAGTCACTGGAGTTTAACTATGTTTCTTGAAGGCACCTACTGTGTGGTTATATATATGGATTAGCTTACCAAGCCTCGGGGGGGGGGGGGGGGTGAGAGATTGTAGTTTGACTCCTGTGATTTGCTGCATAATCAACAGTTGAAAAGTGTAGTTAATATTGCTATCATAGCCCATCACCTATGGTGAACGTTCACTGAATAAAATAGTTTGCAAAATTTCTTGTTGTGTAGATTAATTTGTAATACTCATCAACTTAATTAAATGTTTAAAAAGCAGACAAAGAATTAATACGAGTTTCAAAAAAGTATTTTCACAATACAATTGTGCTAAACAGCCTGTTCATTCAAATTAAAACTAAGAAAGCAATGTTGTTTTATAGTTGTTTTAGTTCTTGCTGTTGTAACAATTGTACCATAACCTATCTTGGGCTTGTGCAACTTTATCGAACAGAATTCTGTAAACTATCCGCTACTGACATACAATCTCACTAATTCACTCAAATGCATGATCTGTGTGGCGATAAATGCGTATTTTTAAGGTTAGGTTAGGATTAGGTCTTGTCCAAATTGGCAAATTAATGGTCTCTAAGACGTAATATATTTTTACTATGTATTAGTATGTTGTAAATTCCCTATGCCTTTATATATGACATATACTGAATATTCAAATCCACATCTCAGAAACTATACAAGTTATATGGTTTATATTTAGTACACGTTCTATGCTGAATGTTATGTATGAGAATGTTTCTCCAAAATAATATGCAAATGTGAAGTCCTATGCTATGATGTGAATTTCGCAATTCTAACATAGTAAGGATCTTTGTTTACTATTGTGAAGTCTTCTGGTAGAGGTAGGTATTCAATACTAGCTGGTTACTAACTAGTTTTCACAAAGATATTTGGATACTTTCTTACCCGGTCATGTGACGTCATTTATTTCGCACACATCTATCATAGATCTGCAAATACTGCTAACTTGAATTGACAGTGTGCATATTGATGACGTAATGTTGACAACGTACTAGATTATGTGATATTATGCATATATCTAATTCACATAGCTTTATCGCATAAACTTATTTACTACTATCACATTGATGTAGAAATGTTGATAAAAAATTAGCTGTTATACATGTCCTCATTAATAATGCACATATTTAATCACCCGGTGATAGAGAAGGGTGCGCTGCTGTTTTGACACCCCAATTTTAAGATTTTCGTTCATTTCAGCAATATTTAGTTAGCTTCAAAGCGCCCCCAACGATGGCATTTTTGGTTCAAGTGAGTGGATGAAAAGATTTGGGTAAAGCATTCGCTGTCGATTTTTGAAAATTACCCAAAGCCCTGCCTAACACTGACGTGTACCATGTTTCAATCTCTTCAATTTATCAAACTTCATACGAAGTCTGTGATTATTTAATAAATTTTATAATTCTACTATTTCCATCATAATTCCTCACACTACCGTGTTTTGCGTTTGTTTATATCAACGCGTTCCTCCATATACGCCAAACCATCCCCATGGCAGTGTACCTGTTCTGACAGATCACAGCCCTCGATTAATTTGACTACAGAGGTACAGGTAACGAGTCCACCACGCACGACATTTCGTATCAAAGGTCAAGCTGACAAATTACAATGCAACACAAGTAATATATCACAACAGTTAGATTGTTTCCTAGTTGTCGCAGGCCATACAGTAAGTAAGTTATTCTCTTCCCTTTGATAATATGATAGCCCGGATCTGAGGTGATCATCGCGTTCGATGTGAGTCCCATGCAACGTAGTATACTACACAGTGTTTATTTACTGGATTGTATTGTGATAGCACATGTGTACAATAGATTATGGTAGCTGTGCGATGGCTGTGTCTATACCAACTTTATGCGTTATGAACCATGTGTTTAGGATTCATTTGTGTATCGTTTTTTTCTTCTCCCAGACACACAACGTAATCATGTTCTGTATTAATCATGTACATACTAAACGGCTTACAAAAAGACAAGTTATATCATTCGATCAGCTATATGCATTTATTGAGTCTACAATGATTTTAAAAATAATACAGCAGTATACTATACACCTATATGTATCACATCCACAGCAGTCTATAGCATACAGTGGCAGTTACGATGTGGTGTGGGTAAATATATGTGAGTTGGGGTTATAGCTTTATTTAAACATTGACAGAAAGTAGGCTTAGTTACTTTGCAGTGCGAGACTCGAACAGACCTTAGTGATATGAGGGTATAAGGGCAAAGCAATAAAATGAACACGTCAAACGATGCAATCAGGTCATCGTACTTTGTAAATAAAGGTGTTTTCGTGCTTTATAGAAACTGTTATAAGTGATCATATATCAAGACCCTATATCAACATTAATCGCGAGAAAACAAACTGGACATTGACAAAAATAAATCAGCGTTTGAGTGTTAGTCAGTAGTATTCTATATGTAATTTAAAATGTCTCAGTGTGTCGGTAAATGAAACTTGACAAAATTAATGTATTTCCTGGGACCGACACTTATTTGAAGAACCCGAAAAAATACGGATTACCGAAATATTGTTTTAATACTATTGTATAAATTGTTGGTTAATTTACATTTCAAAATCACAGTGTCTATTGCAATGTGAAAATATACCGCATTATTGTGCGTTTGTCATTTGGCATAATATCGATTGACGACGTGAACTCCGCCATGGGAGTCGTTAAGTTCCCATTCATTTTACTTACACTAGTTATGCAGTAACTGTTCTGTTTCTTGGTATACTCGGTGCCTTAAATATTCCATTAGCAAGTGGAGCTCCCGTGCAATTAATGTTTTCTAAGCACATCGGCGATTTTTGTAGCTTCGATAGTTCAAGTGAGTTTGTGAAATTCCCCTGTTAACCCCGCACCACAACCACCCAAAAAGGATAATAAATGTGGTTTTAATTAACATTTTATGATTGAATTGTTATACCAATAGTCTGCATCACGAAGAGAAAATCGACACCATGGCAACCAGTGGTAAGTTGCATCACACCAAATATGGCAATACGAACTTTTTTTTCAATTTTCGTGAAATACATCACGAGGGTAGTTAATGCTGAGTTCATATATTTCAGGGAGTATTTATATAACTCCAGTCAGCATAGACGAATTGGATGACGTCAGTACCGCGGAACTATCAGCTGATCAACAGTTTCTGCAAAAGGCCATGCAAATCCTGTTCACTGAGGGCGTGATCAAGGCAGGCGACAGACGCACAAAAGGTTATGTAGCTAAGATTTATTTGGGTTTACAGATATTATTTATTCTGAATATATACAACTTATATGAAAAAATATATGCTTTATTTATATAAATTTCACGAAACTTTTAGTTTAAATAACATATCTTATTGATGTTGTTAGTATAAGCGAGCTACTGCTCCAGGATTTTGAATATGTTATAAAAGTACAGGGAAAAACTGTTTCTAATGGTTATCTTATAAAAACAACTCTTTCTCCGCAGTTGTGGAATATTTGGATCCGCACGTGTTAAAGGAAACATTTGATTTGGAAATCAAAGAAAAGGGCGTTGGTACAGATAAACTGCTACAGTTATTGAAAGATACTCTGAAATACAGTGTACGCTCTGGTAAGTAATTCTTATATGGTGTGGTAAAGTCACATGTACACTCGTAAAATAGGATGTTATTTAGTCAAGTACGACCAATTTGTTCGATTTAATAAGGCTATGTACGTACTAGTGCTAAGGCCACCTGTGATTGGATAAGGTTACGTAAGTTTGTAATAAGTATTCGTTCAGATTGCATTGCATAGAACTTGTCATGTCGCATGGGTTTCTTTATTGTCAGAGGTACAACACACGTAGTTGACAATAACTGCATGCTGAACAGTACACTTAGTCCGGTTAACAACGATAATCATAGACTGCTTCGATCGTGGCAATCCTGACACTTAGATACTCCCTCTGCACATACTAACATACACATTCACGTAGATAATTCTTGAAAAAAAATTTGTGATTTTAATAACATCTTTATCGCATGTCACAATGTAGTTGCATACCATTATATACATTTCACACTACATAGTCAGTGTGCAAGCTAGCAGATGAAATTGACATAAATGGTTTGAAATACATTGCTGTTATTCAAAACTTCGCTTCACGTGTGATTTATGGAGAGGGCAAAGACATTATCTACTTTTAAGTAGTAGTAACCAATTATTCTTGAATCATTACTCTGAATGAAACCGGATGAACACTAAATAAATTACTTACAATTCCCTATATTATTTTGATAATTGTATGTTAATTTCCAGCAAATCCTCGTTTTTTCAATCAACTGTACGCTGGACAGGATGCATATGGTTTAGTGGGACAGTGGATGACAGATACCATCAATGCGAGCATGTACGTACAATTACATATACATGTAATTTGAGACAACTATCCACATGTCTCATGTACACAGACTGCACTATATTATTGTATCGAATCATGCTAACGGACTCAAGTCACTATTACTGAATTAAAGTTAATAAAACACGCGTTACCTTGAAAGTTAGCCACCAAAGGAAAACCGTCTGTTGCGTCGGACATTAAAAATACTCTTTGAACACCATAACATGCGTTATGAATAACAGCACATGAAATTCAATTTTATGATGAATTATATAAAATTGGATGGAAAGAAAAAGATGCATATTTTATTTTACAATATAATAGAGGAGCTATTCAATAATTATCGAAGATACTTACACGTGGAAATAAATTAATTGAACAATTTAAATCAAAATGTTTTTACAAATCAGAGCTTCCCAGCATAGACATGTCGCCAACAAATGTTGTTGTTCAGATCTTAAGCTACAATTTGAAGCAGGCAATCACTATGGAAAAATAGAATTTGTCTGTCATGTGAAAAAGGAAATAGTCGATAAAACGCTTTTTTTCTGTAGTTTGTCCGGTATATGAATTTGCACGATTTTTGAAGATTTTTGAGTAAGGAGAAATGTCAATATTTGTAAAATAATTATAAATATTTCGGCTTTCCCGTCCTCTTCGGGTAGTGGGGTCTATTTCTTCTGCGAAATGGTAAATAAATAAATAAATAAATAAATAAATAAATAAATAAATAAATAAATAAATAAATAAATAAATAAATAAATAAATAAATAAATAAATAAATAAATAAATAAATAAATAAATAAATAAATAAATAACACACAACGTCACAAATTCTATAAAAGTGTATTCACAACGCAGACCCTTAACTACAAAACGTTTTCATGGAATACAAATAATTCTATATGATCTCTGTTATGTCTAGGTAAAACATGAATAAATATAAATAATAAATTACTCTACTTACGATATTTCCTACATTTGAATTTGTCATAACTATCACGTGACATCGTAACGGGTAAAACTATGTCATGCTGGCATTTTATAGCTTCATTCTACAATGATTCACACGTGTTATTGTCTATGTAATATGTTATTACTTTGAAATACAATATGTACACTTATGTTGATTGCACATTCATTTTGTAAACTTGTCTTGAATAGGTCCAATTATGAAATATCACCTGTGTTTAATTTAATGGAGGTTGAAATTTTGAAAATATTGAGTGATATTGTTGGATATGAAAAGAGTGATGGTATTTTTTGTCCGGGTAAGTCCAGCAATAGTTTTGAATAGTACGCATAAATTATCCTTGTGTTCCTAAGAGTTTTATCGTATTATTTGTTTTAACTTTATTGAATCATCATGATTGAATGTTTGTTACGTTGCAGTACATACCAGAAGACAATTTGGAAAGCTATTTCTTTATAATATAAGTTTAATGTTAAACGAATGATTGTATTTCTCTACTTCATAACATACGTCATTTTAATCTTTGCTACATACATCTAAACATTTTGTACCCTAAATACTAAGATTGTACGAATGGCTCTACGTCTCAGTTACGTCATGAAGATATGCATGCTTTGTTTAGGAGGTTCCATAGCCAATATGTACGGCATAAGTATGGCAAGATATCACAAATACGGAGAGGCAATAAAGACTGACGGTCTGAGTGGTTTACCCAGACTTATTCTATTCACTTCCAAGCATGTACGTATCGTATTTATATACATTATTGCACGCGAACGTGGATAGAATAGATTATTTGTTTTCTTGTGTAATTGATATTCAGTTCATTTCAAATCAAACATTTATCTAGCCAGTGTCAGACCGGCTACAAACTTGATTAGCAAGTTGTTGACGAGTTAAGACCTAGACTGGGAAACATCAGAGTAGCGAAGAATTTGTACCTTTCTAATAATCTAATAAAGATTACCTATTTGCACGGCACATCCACAGGAGACGATTTGTACACAGTTTCGGTTACACTGGATATGTAATCGTGCATTGCCTAACATTTCCAGATCATTTCGCATCAGAATCAGAGACTGATTGTTTATCATGTCCGCACTAAAAAAGACGCGACGAAAAAATGCGATGAGAATGCAAATGAAAGGCTATAATGACGAGTGAATGTAGATTGGCGCTGACCACGGCATAATGTGAATATTTATACGCTATATTTGATACATACGCTGTGTTGTGATCATTAAGATGCTTTTCATCTGCAACCATTTTGAGTTAGGTAATCTAATAAGTGGTAGTAATGTTTCTGTACTGCAGGCACATTATTCTATTTCAAAGGGAGCAGCCTTCATGGGATTTGGTACCAAAAATGTATATACTGTAGAAGTAGATGAAAGGTAGGTAACCATGGCTATTTAAGTCATGCGAAAACACTGTATTCCATGATATGCATTCGTCAATTTTAGAATAAGTTCTACGATCACCACAAATATTTTGTTAATCATGATGACTATTTTAATATGGTCCTATATTATTTGACTTATTATAATAATTTAATGGGATGAATCTTCGACACACATCGGGAATTAAAACTTTAGAATGCATCCCGTCAGATTAATCATACATACGTAAATTAATCATTCTAAACAATGCTATACTTATGTTATAATCTTTGTACCGTTATATGGTAGTGATAAGAGATGGACTTCTAGAATCCTGACGGAGTGAATAAATGAACTCGTTTCAGGAAGAAACAAATGCATGTTGCGGGTGCTTGAAAAAGCAAGTCAGGCTGACAACAATTCCCGCTCACATTACTAGTATTGTAGAAACAGTTATTTGCACATTGCAATTGTGAATGGTATTTTGCATAAGGCAAATCATGAGACATATAATGTGCAAACACTGTACTGAGATAGAGTAAAAGGTGGACTATTTGATATCTCAAAGGAGGCTGAAACGTTTCCTAGTTTGGAAGATACAAATTCTAGGCAGGTTAAGACAACGTTCCCTAGGGATCGTGTAGACAAACGCTCTCAAACATTCCTTGCTTAGCAACTGTCATCGAGTGATTTGTACACTCAGAAATTATCCAGCGACATCTGCCCTGACATTACGTAACATGAATTTGAGATAATTGGCTTATTAGGAAATAATTGTCCATATTAAATGTCCAATAATCAACTGTTTTATTATTAGGGGTAGAATGATTCCGGAAGACTTGGAAAAGCAAATTGAATTAGCTAAACAACAGGTTTGTGATATTGCAACTTTTGCAAAGTTATATATTACGTAACAATGGCTAGGAATATGACATCACGTATGACATCATGTTCACCATACTCATATGTACAATGTGACATCGCGTTTGTGGTATCTACCCATATGTACAACATGACATCA